GTATGCACTCATGGCCTTTTTGCTGCACAATGAACTCTGATTAATGCTTCCACTCAAGGTGCTGCAATAATCATTAACTCAACAAGAATCTTAACTAAAATATAAACAATTGAATGAAACTTTTAGTGCGGATTTTACTGGTTTCAAAAAGATTAGCCCCTTAATTATAAGAAATTATAATCATCTCTCTTGTTGCTATCACTAAGTGACTCTAGTTCAAATTGATTTGTGGAATTTAATTACCATATTCATAATATTTCACTAAAAATAAATGTGGAAAAATCTAATGTGGCTTCTTATAAATGTTTCTCTCTTGGATTAATAAAAGATCTTCAAAATTTCAGAGTGAATTGGGCAGGAAGTCTAGCCCACTACCATCCTTGTAGCCATAGCCAACAGTGAAATTATTTTGTTTAAGTTATGATTAGAAACAATATTTGGTAAAATATCTATGTAAAATAAATATTTTAATGGAAACTTGACAAATCAAATGAACCAATGAAAAAGAAATTCTCACTACCTCCAGATTTCGAAAGCAATATTCTTTATGATAATCCCTGGGTCACTACAGTTATTAAGGAATTAAGATTACAAAATGTTAGTTAAACTCAAAGTAACCACTATACTGGAAGGCCCAAGATAACTTGGGTATTCTGCAATTATCTTTGTTGAAACACAGACTTGGTGTTTTGCAAAGAAATCATTTGTTCTGCCTTAGTGAAGCTAATTATTCTCAGCGTGCAACCACTGTTTCAAATTGTAAAAGGCACATCAGCCTTTGCTGTATGTTGCAGGAATTAAAACCCAATCAAATGAGATAATGAAGTGCATACAAAGAATATGATCTTACTTTTGCAATGCAATAAAAGTGAAAGCCATTTAAAGAAATGTTACAAAAATCATAATTTAGAGAGAAAAACATGCTGTAAAGCAAATGTTTACTATTTATTTTAATTACTTATTGCTTAGAGTTTATTGCATTAGGTTTATTTATCGTGTGGTTAAGACTCTTCTTTTTAATGACTGAAGAATATGGTGGCTAACAGTCCAATATGAAGCAACATAATGCAAAAGCTTTTTTAATTTCATGGAAAACTAAGGAAATAGTCCATATTATGTCAGAGATGAACATATACGCTTGTAAGAATTTCATGAGAGTATATTAAGAAAATAGTTATTAGGACTGGCCCAGTGGTGCAGTGGTTAAGTTCTTGTGTTCTGCTTTGGCGGCCAGGGGTTCACCAGTTCAGATCCTTGGTGTGGACCTACGTACCGCTTGTCAAGCCATGCAGTGGCAGGTGTCCCACATATAAAGTAGAGGAAGATGGGCACAGGTGTTAACTCAGGGCCAGTCTTCCTCAGCAAAAAGAGGAGGATTGGTGGCAGATGTTAGCTCAAGGCTAATCTTTCTCAATAATAATAATAATAAAATAGTTATTAAAAATAGACTAGCATTGGCACTCCTCTGTACTTGTGTGATCTGAAATAACAAAATATATTAGTGCTCCTATTCATTAAAAAAAATACCATCTGTGCTAATATCAGCGACACATTACCCACTTAAAAATCTCTACTTGTTCTGTCTTTTTCTGTGAAACCTGTTTTTTCTGAGAACACATAAACCATTAGTAGTCCCCATAATTGCATACTGAGCTGCTGAAATCTGATTGGGTCTGGGTGTGTGTTCCATTTTGGTAAAGAGAAATCTCTTGCCATTTAAACTCATTGAGTTAATATTTTCTTTATTGTTTGGTGTTTGTTTCCTTCCACACTAACCATTGACAGTGATATTTCCTGCCCCCACCAACACTACCCTTCAAGTTACATGGGGTGAGATGGATTATAGGTTTTTGTCCCTTGCTTGTTATGAGAGAAACCAGAGCAAGCTTCCCTTTCAGCTGCTGAGAAAGTGCAGTCATCTCACTGGCAAGAATGTGAAAACAGCAGGATTCACACATCAGCATTGACAACACAGAGAGCATGAAGGTTCTGCTCATTACATGCCATGGGGGCTGCGTGTCTAGAGCAGTTTACTCTGCAAAGGGTAATGCCTGCTGTTATTTACATGCCAACACAATACCCTGGGTATTAATATACTAATAAACTTTTCTCTTGATTCTGTGTTCTTTCTTCATATTACTTTTTACTTTTGTTTCCATAATGCCAGTCATATGTATTGTGCTGTCCTGGAGTCGAGGAACATGGCAGTTTGGCTAGTATGCACAAGTTCCAAGCTCTGTGCTGTGCATAAGCAAAGGCTCAGTGAGTGATGCGTGATGTGTAAATCGCTGTTATCTCCAGAGCTTGACACAGTGCTTGGCACAAAGGAGGCGCTTAATCAATGTTTTCCCATTGGTTGAATGAATGGGCGAATTTTCATCACAGATTTCGTTTGGGGGACATAGTGGAGATCACATAAGGATTGTGATAAAATAAGTGGGTACCATGAACTTTTCCACAACCACATCTGGGTCATGATTCAGCAAGCACTGGGAAGAACTTAGATATACATATTTAGCTTAAATGACTTTGATAGGGTTGCTCTTAAATCAAGATTATACTCCTATTTTTAATTTGGACTAAAAATGTAACAATTTCAGAATATTCAAACAGTTGCAAAATGCTGTTTCTATCACTTTTGATTTAGAGACACAAGGGTTTGTAAGAGCATTCTGTCCACACTCTCAACCCTCTTATGTTGCATGCTTGCAACAGTTTGGTAAGTGGAGTGTGTTGTGGATTAAATAGTCCTGCTTGCTAATATAGTTTTGAAGAACTTTTTATTCACATGCCAGTTTAGCTGCTTATGTTCATCTCTTTTCAACTGAGTAAAACTGGATGGTGAGCTATTGTTCAGCCAAAACTTGGCAGCTCTCAACCCATTATTCAACTTAGAAAGGAAAAGACTTAAAAATACTTTTATTTTTCTTTATCATCTTCTGGGATCTACTGCAACATTTTGTGTCACCTATTAGCAAATGAAAGAAAAATATTTTCTTTGCAATTTGCAAAAGGATGCAATTGTCACATGCTGAGACAGGTTAGCATCTGTATCTCTAGGGGAAAACTTTCGGTTGTAGCAGATCTGCCAGTAGCAATTAATTAGAAAGCTTTTTATACTGTTTTCAGTTACAGACGTGTTCTAGCAGCTTGAGAAAATTGGTAGTGACGTCTGCTGTCACCACAGGGTAGTACCATGGATGGAGCTAATTTACTGACATTTGCTTTTTTTCTCAGTGTCATATCTTCATCTTACACTAAGCTTGATTTTCATTGCCAAATGGTGAATTCAGTCATTTTCTTATTGCATTATAATGCATGGTGTATGAGACGTAAGAATGAATGCATCTTACACTTGTGAATTCCAAGATAAGATGAACAGCTGGTCTTTTTTCACCACCTACTAAGCAGAAGTATAAAGAAAGGCCACCTATCTTAGCAAAGAAAGATGTATCAACTTAAAATATTAGTAGCAAGACTATAAAAAATTATTAATTTTTCTAAAGAAATGTAACTCATTTAATAAATTGTATCTCAAGGACAAGCTTCAGTTTTTTAGTTCATTTATGGGTAATCCTGTATGCCAAGATGAATTCATTCTTAGCAAAGTATTGTCCTTGAATTCATCCTGCATATCTGGTCCTAGAATATTTGGGCACAATGTTTGTCTCCCTTCCTAATTACTAAATTAAAAAAAAAAAAACAGTTCTTTTTAAATTTTAGGCATGTGAATTATTTATTCAAATTATTTCTCTCTTTTCACAGGTTCTTATCATGCATCTTTTATGGACTTTATACTACTCTAAATAAATTCAAATTAGACAAGTATTTCTGTCTGTGTTTTCCATGCAGGCATTCTCTAGAGTCACTGATTTTCAGAAAGCTGTCTCTAATTTGGGCAATACAATGTGAACTGCTTTCAAACTCATCACTGACTACATGGGAAAGTTGTTAAACCTCTATGTGTTAGTCTTCTTCTGTTGCCACATAATAGTATCTTCCCACTTATTTCATCTGTTGTGAAAGGTTTAACTGACATTTAACGTGAAACTAATGAACACCTATCAATTAAATATTAAAGTTTTCTTTATATAGTTTATTAGAAAAAGATATGGGGCCGGCTTCATGGCCGAGTGGTTAAGTTTGCGTGCTCCGCTGCGGCGGCCCAGGGTTCAGATCCTGGGCGCGGTCATGGCACCGCTCATCAGGCCACATTGAGGCGGCGTCCCACATCCCACAACTAGAAGGACATGCAACTGAGATATACAACTGTATACAGGGGGGGTTTGGGGAGATAAAGCAAATAAAAAAAAAAGATTGGCAACAGTTGTTAGCCCAGGTGCCAATCCTTAAAAAAAAAAAAAGGAAGATTGGCAACAGCTGTTAGCCCAGGTGCCAATCTTTAAAAAAAAAAAAGATAAGAATGAAAAATAAAATATTGACTCCCAATTAAACATGATGGATTGAACATAAGAGTTCTCTCTACTTCACCCTCAAACCCCACTAAAACATCAACAGCAGAATTTAAAATGTATAAACACATAAGGCCAAATAGAACAGGAGAGGAGATAATACAAACTGAGTGGTGTCAAAAAAATTTAGATAAAAATTAAAACAGGAGAAAACTTTTAAAATAACTCAGCAGAATGGAAGAAGCTGAGATCTAAATATATCAAAAAGCAAAAAAAAATTACCAGGAAGGGTCAGAAATCTCATATTCTGAAAGTGAGGTGAAGAATGGCTGTCAAGGGGGCTGGCCGGGTGGCGCAGCAGTTAAAGTGTGCACGTTCCACTTCTTGGTGGCCCGGGGTTCACTGGTTCGGATTCCGGGTGTGGACATGGCACCACTTGGTAAAAGCCATGCTGTGGTAGGCATCCCACGTATAAAGTAGAGGGAGATGGGCATAGATGTTAGCTCAGGGCCAGTCTTCCTCAGCAAAAAGAGGAGGATTGACAGTAGTTAGATCAGGGCTAATCTTCCTCAAAAATAAAATAAAATAAAAAGGGCTGTCATGTTGTACAACCCAGAGAGAGCTATTCACATTATAGTTTATGTGAATGATACTCAAGGGGTTATGAAGTGAAGTCTATAGCCTATTATAAAAACTTGTCCAAATAAAGAGCTGAAGGGGTAATGCAACATAGGAAACCACTACCTATTCATTTCTTTTATCAAAGACACATGTTTTCCCCTTTCCTGTTTTATTTGATCTTATATCTTTATACATTTTAAATTCTTCTGTTGATGTTTTAGTGGGACTTGGGAATGAAGCACGGAGAACTCTTATGTTCAACCCATCATGTTACCCATTATGAAGTAATCACTCCCAGCCTGCCTCCATTGTGAATTCTTTCTTATTTGATCAGAGTTAAACCCTAAGAGAGGTCTATCATTGCCAGCTTAATCACTGTCAGCTCTCTAGAAAATAGACTTCAATTTTACGTTGCAATGATTATTAATCCACTATTGCCTATCTATGTGCCCAACAATTTGACTTGAAAACATGTAGAGGATTATGGCATCCAGGTAAGCAAAGAAAAATCACAAACATTTTGGCTGACACAGTTGCCTGAATGTAGGAGTCTATGGCAGAGATATTGCTATATATTTATTAAATCCATTTCCTTTTTTTCATCTTCTTCATACAGGGAGACAAATTTCCCAGCTTCCCCTGCAACTAGATTGTGGTTATATGGTATCATTTTGTTTAATGGTATGTAGAGAGAAATAATGTAAACATCTCATAGAACTCTAGAACTCTCTTAGCCTCTCCTTTCCTTCAGAGGCAGCCATGTAGGCCACATGTTGAGCTATCAAGTCAAAAGATGGAAGTACCCTAGGTCCCTGGAGAGCAGAACAATTGAATCAGTAACCTTGAACATATATCAATAGAAATTATCTAATCTGATGAACATAGAGAAAAAAAGATAAAACAGGCAGAGCCTCACAGACCCATGAGCCGACATCAAGCATGCCAGCAAATAGGTCATGGAAATCTCAAAAGGAAATGATGAAAGGGAGCAGAAAAAAATATATTTGAAGAAAGAGTGCTCAAAAACTTCCCAAATTTGCTGAGAAAAATTAAACATTTAATAACCTCAGCAAACACTGAGTAGAATAAAAGATCTACATCCAATACAATCAGAAAATATTATAAAGCATCAAGAGAAAAAAGATTCATCAAGAACGAGTGAATCACAGTAAGACTAACAGCTAACTCCTCATCAGGAACAGTGGTTTCCAGAGGACATTGGAGTATCATATTCAAAGAGTTGAAAGAAAACAAAATTTTATGTCAAGAAATCTCTATCCAGCAAAACTATCCTTCAAATGATTATGAAATAAATACATTGACAGATAAACAAAGTCTGAGAGGATTAGTTGCTAACAGGCCTGCCTTACAAGAAGTATTAATAGAAGTCCATCAGGCTGAAAAAAAAAAAAAAATGAAACCAGACAGTAACTCCAACCCACATGAAGAAACAAAGAGTTTGAGAAATGGTAAACATGACTAAATATGAAAGAGTCTATAAATTTATTTACTCATATTCCTAACCTCTCCAAAATATATGAGATTTTATACAGCAGGATTTATAACACTGTTCTATTGGGTTTATAACATGTATAGATCACATGGGAGGGGGAGAAAAAGAGATATATTGGAAAAAAAGATTCTACATTTTATGGGAAATAATATTCTAAAGTATATTGGGAAAATCTGAGATAGATATTGTAGTCCTTAGGATAGCCACTATAAAATTAACTCAAAAAATTATTTTAAAAAATCCAGAGGAGTTAAAATGATAAGCTAAAAAATGCAAAAGGAGGCATAAAAGTGAAACAAGAAGGAAAAGAAGATGATATGTACATAAGTGTTCATAGCAGTGCTATTTATAATAGTCAAAAAGTGGAAACCACTCAAATGTTGATCAACTGATTGAAGGTTAAAGAAAATGTAGGATATACATACAACAAAATATTTTGTTAGTGCCATCAAGTTGATTCTGACTCCTAGCAACCCTGTGTATAGCAGAGCAGAACCCTGTGGGGTCTTTTTGCACCATCCTCTTACCTTCCAGCACTATATCAGACAACACTCTGCTGCTGTTCATAGGGTTTTCATGGACATTTGTTTTGGAAGTGGGTGGTCAAGTCCTTCTTCCTAATCTGTCTTAGTCTAGAAGCTCTGCTGAAAATTGTCCACCATGTGTGATCCTGCTGGTATTTGAAATACTGGTGGTATACTTTCAGCAACACACAACTGCCACAGTGTGACAACCGACAGATGGGTGGTGTGGTTCTCTGAATGGGAAACAAATCTGAGCCACAGTGGTGAGCATACAGAATCTTAACCACTAGGCCACCAGGGCTGGCAACAAAATATAAAGTACTGATTAATGAGATACCATGAATGAACCTTGAAAACTAATGCTACATGAAAGAAGCCATTCACAAAAGGCTACATATTGTGCAATTCCATTTACATAAAATGTTCAGAATAGGTCAATCCATAGAGTAAATTAGTGATCGTCAGAGTATGGTGGAAAGGGAGAATGGACATAACTTCTAATGGGTTTGGGATTTCTTTTTGGTTTAATAAAAATGTTCTAAAATTACATGGTGATTATAGTTGTACAATTGTATAAATCAGTGAATTGTATACTTGAAATGGGTGCCTCTTATGGTATGTGAATTATATCTCAATAAAGCTGTTATTAAAAAAAGATATGGCAAATTGAGAATAAATAGCAAAATGATAGATGTAAATACAACCGTATAGGTAATTACATTAAATGTGAATAAAGTAAAAACCCCAATATAAAGGCAGAGATTATTGGACTGGATAAAAATCAAATTCAATTATATGCTGTCTACAAGAGATATTCATTAGATTCAAATACACAAGTGGGTGGAAAGTTAAAGGATGGAAAAAGTACGTGCTTTGTGAGCAGCAGCCATAAGAGAGCTAGATTAGCTATATTATCAGAAAAAATAGACTTCACCACAAGAAAAAATTGGTAGAGACAATGAAGGACATGTCTTAATGATAAAACGGTCAGTACATCAGGAAAATGTAACAAACAATATATGTGTGCACACCTAACAACAGAGTTCCCAGATACATGGCATAAAAACTGGCAAAACTAAATGAAAAATAGACAATTCAACAACACTATCTGGAGCTTTTGATAATCCATTCTCAATAATTGGTAAAACAACTAGACAGAAAATCAGCCAGGATATAGAATATTTGATCAACACTATTGACCAATTTGAATTTTATAGAATACTCTACCCCCAATGCCTGAAGAATACAGTTTCCGAGTATGCATGAAACATTCTTCAGTATAGACCATAAGCTGGATCACAAAACAAAGCTCAATAAATGTATAAAACCTGAAATCATGTAAAATATATCTTATTACCACACATAAACTAGACCTTCACACCAGAAATAGATCTGGAAAACTCTCAAATATTTGGAAATTAAACAATTTCAAAATAACCCATAGATCAAGAAATAAATCAAAAGGGAAATTAAAAGTATATTTTGAGCTGAATGAAAATAAAACAACATATCAAAACGTATGTAATGATAAGCACTGATCAGGAGGAAAATTTTCACTTTAAAGCCTATGTCAAAAAATATGAAAGGCCAGGGCTGGCCCAGTGGTGCAGTGGTTAAGTTCGCACGTACCACTTCGGCAGCCTGGGGTTCACCGGTTCAGATCCCAGGTGTGGACCTATGCACCGGTTGGCAAGCCATGCTGTGGTAGGCGTCCCACATATAAAGTAGTGGAAGATGGGCACGGATGTTATCTCAGGGCCAGTCTTCCTCAGCCAAAAAGAGGAGGATTGGAGGCAGATGTTAGCTCAGGACTAATCTTCCTCAAAAAAAAAAAAACAAAAAACCCAGCCTAAGTAACTAGGTAAGTGAATAACCTAGCAAGGACCTAAGCAACCTAACGCCTCAGTAACCTATGTTTCCACTTTAAGAAACTGGAGAAAAAAAGAGCCACTAAACCTAAAGCAAGCAGAGGGAAGGATATTCTAAAATCAGAGTGTAAATTAATGAATTAAAAACCAGGAAATCAATAAAGAAAACTGGAGAAACCAGAAGTTTGTTCTGTGAAAAGGTTAAAAAAAAAAAGACAAACCCTTAGCTAGACTTGCCAGGACAAAAGAAAATAGGCATGAATCTGGAATGAGAGAGGAGAAATCACTACCAACCTTATATAAATTTAAAGAATTTTGACTGAATATTATGAACGCACTTTTGCCAACAAATTTGACAACTTAGATGTCATGGATAAATTCCTAGAACACAGTTTCCAAACCATATGGAAGAAGAAATTGAAAACCTGGGTAGATTTATAACAAGTAAAGAAATTGAAATAGCGATTAGAAATCTTTCCATAAGGGAAATGTCTAGGCCCAGATGGTGTCAGTAGAGCATTCTATATATTTAAAGGAGAAATCATGCAATCCTTCACAAACTCTGAAAATAAGAGAGGAGGGAACATATACCAACTCATTCTCTGAGGCCTCTACAGTGTATTATCCTGATACCAAAGCCACATAAAAACATCACAAGTAACAGCAACAACGAAAACTAAACAAATGGAAGACCAATATTCCTAATGAATATAGATGGAAAACTTAAACCAAATATGAAAATTGAATTCAGTAGTGTAGATAAAGGATTATAAACCATGACCAAGTGCAATTTATCCCAGGAATGCAAGGTTGATTTAACATCTGAAAATTAATACATTATAGTGATCAATTAAAGGATATGAAACAGTTAAAGGATGCAGAAAAGTCATTTGATAAAATCTAACACCCATTCATGATAAAAATTTTCAACAATCTAAGAATTTAATGGAACTTTTCCAATCTAGGAATAGAAATGGCATCTATGAAAAATCTACAGCTAACGTCACACGAAATAGTGAAAGACTGAATATTTTCTCCCTACGGTCAGGCACAAAGCCAGGATACCAACACTCTCCACTTCTATTTAACATTGTGCTGGAAGTTTTAGCCAGTGTAATAGACAAAATAATAATTATAACATTAATTGTAATAATAATAAAGGCTTTTAGATAGAAAAGGAGGGAATAAAAAGGTCTGCAGCTGGCAATTTTGTATATTGAAAAATCTGAAATTCCAAAAATATCTCTTAGAACTAAAAGATGAGTTAAGCATGATTGGAGGATACAAAGTTAATATGTAAAAATCAACTTGATTCCTACATCTTAGCAATAATCCAAAATGAAATTCAGAAAACAATTCTATTCACAAGAACATCAAAAACAAAACACTTAGGTATAAATTTAACAAAATAAGTGCAATCTGTGCACTGAACAGTACAAAATACTCATGAAAATGATTTATGAAAATCTAAATAAATGGAGAGACATTCTGTGTTCACGAATTGTAAAACTCAGTGTTGTTAAGATGGGAATTCACCTCAAATTGATCTAAAGATTCATCGCAATCTCTATCTAAATCTCAGCTGGCAA